CTATCCACAGTTTAGTTTAACACCTCAATAATAATAATAATAATAATAATAATAATAATATCAATAGTGCAACTATCTAAGAGTGCAACTATCTACAGTTTAGTTTAACACCACAATAATAATAATAATAATAATAATAATGATAGTGCAACTATCTAAGAGTGCAACTATCTACAGTTTAGTTTAACACCACAATAATAATAATAATGATAATGATAATAATAATAATAATAATATCAATAGTGCAACTATCTAAGAGTGCAACTATCTACAGTTTAGTTTAACACCACAATAATAATAATAATAATAATAATAATAATAATAATAGTGCAACTATCTAAGAGTACAACTATCCACAGTTTAGTTTAACACCACAATAATAATAACAGTGCAACTATCTAAGAGTGCAACTAATCTACACTTTAGTTTAACGTCACAATAATAATAATAATAGTGCAACTATCTAAGAGTGCAACTATCTACAGTTTAGTTTAACACCACAATAATAATAATAATAATAATAATAATAATAATAATAATATCAATAGTGCAACTATCTAAGAGTGCAACTATCTACAGTTTAGTTTAACACCACAATAATAATAATAATAATAATAATGATAATAGTGCATCTAAGAGTGCAACTATCTACAGTTTAGTTTAACACCACAATAATAATAATAATAATAATAATAATAATGATAATAGTGCAACTATCTAAGAGTGCAACTATCCACAGTTTAGTTTAACACCACAATAATAATAACAACAGTGCAACTATCTAAGAGTGCAACTAATCTACACTTTAGTTTAATGTCACAATAATAATAATAATAATAATAATAGTGCAACTATCTAAGAGTGCAACTATCTACAGTTTAGTTTAACACCACAATAATAATAATAATAATAATAATATCAATAGTGCAACTATCTAAGAGTGCAACTATCTACACTTTAGTATAACATCACAATAATAACAGTGCAACTATCTAAGAGTGCAACTATCTACAGTTTAGTTTAACATCACAATGATAATAATAATAATAATAATAATAATAATAATAATAATAGACTCAGAGTGGATTACAATGTAAATAGATACCACCAAATATTCAATGCCTTGTTACATTACAATGAAACACACAAACACAAACAAAGGCAGAGGCTTCTCCTTTCATTTCCAGCTTGGAGCATCTTATGCCTTTCCTGGAACGCAGTACCTATTAATCTACTCACATTTGCATGTTTTCGAACTGCTAGGTTGGCAGGAGCTGGGGCTAACAGTGGGAGCTCACCCCGTCCCGCAGATTCGAACTGCTAGCCTTCAGGTCAGCAGTTCAGCAGCACAAGGGTTTGACCCATTGCATATGGGAGCTGTAGTTTAGTGGGACACCTGAACTCTTTAGCAGAGAAGGCTGTGAAACTACAACTCCCATGGTGACATCGCATTGAGCAGCTAAAGTGATGTCAAACCCCTTTCTATCATGCAAGGAAAGCACAATCAAAGCAGCCCCGACAGATGGCCAGGCAGCCTTTGTTTAAAAGAGACCTAGGAAGGAGATTCCACCCTCCTACCATTGCTTCCTCTGAGATGGACCAGAAGCAAAAGTGAGACTTATATCATTGGCGGGGTTCAGAATGCTCTTTGACTGCAGGTGAACTATAAATCCCAGCAACTACAACTCCCAAATGTCAAGGTCTCGAATTCCCAAACTCCACCAGTGTTCACATTCGGGCATATTGAGTATTCGTGCCAAGTTTGGTCCAGATCCATCATTGTCTGAGTTGACAGTGCTCTCTGGATGAAGGTGAACTATAACTCCCAAACTCAAGGTCAATGCCCACCAAACCCTTCCAGTATTTTCCGTTGGTCATGGGAGTTATTTGGGACAAGTTTGGTTCAATTCCATCATTGGTGGAGTCTAGAATGCTCTATGATTGTAGGTGAACTATAAATCCCAGCAACTACAACTCCCAAATGTCAAGGTCTTTTCCCCCAAACTTCACCAGTGTTCACATTTGGGAATATCGAGTATTCATGCCAAGTTTGGTCCAGATCCATCATTGTTCGGGTCTACAGTGCTCTCTGGGTGCAGGTGAACTAGAACTCCCAGACTCAATGTGAATGCCCACCAAACCCTTCCAGTATTTTCTGTTGGTGATGGGAGTTCTGTGTGCCAAGTTTGGTTCAATTCCATTCTTGGTGGAGTTCAGAATGCTCTTTGATTGTAAGTGAACTATAAATCCCAGCAACTACAACTCCCAAATGTCAAGTTCCCAAATTCCCCAAACTTCACCAGTGTTCACATTTGAACAGATCAAGCATTATTATTATTATTATTATTATTATTATTATTATTATTATTATTACTACTACTGCTACTACTACTACTACTATTGGCTTGCTGTGAGTTTTCTGGGCTGTATGTCCACGTTCCAGAAGCATTCTCTCCTGACGTCTCACCTACATCTATGACAGGCATCCTCAGAGGTTGTCAGGTCAACCAATTGTTGTTGTCGTCATCGTTATCTACATAATAGTTTTGACAGCCTTTGTAGGCATGGAAGACCGACAGAATAGACCAGAGTGCTGTGTGGTTTCCATGCTCTGTGGGCAATGTGCCCCAGCAGCACTTTCTCCCGACCTTTCGCCTGCACCTCTGGCTACCGGCATCTTCAGAGGAGCTACAGAACAAACTTGACCTCATTGTCGAAAGCTTTCATGACCAGAATCACTGGGTTGTTTTGAGTTGCGTGTTGTGTGTTCCAGAAGCATTCTCTCCTGACATTTCGCCTGCATCTCTGGCTACCGGCATCCTCAGAGGTTGGAAACAAGGCAAGTAGAGTTTATATATCTATGGAATAATGTCCAGGGTGGGAGAAAGATCTCTTGCCTGTTTGGAGGCAATTGATTGCCTTGATTAGCATTGAATAGCCTTGCAGCTTCAAAGCTTGGCTGCTTCCTGCCTGGGGGAAATCCTTTGTTGGGATAAACCCCCACTTGCCTAGTTTCCAACAGAACTCTCAACCTCTGAGGTGCTCCTGGAACATGGCCAGGCAGCACTTTCTCCTGACCTTTCTCCTGCATTTGTGGCTACCGGCATCTTCAGAGGAGCTACAGAACAAACTTGGCTGCCTTTAGAGTGCTTTTACCAACGGATCCCTGAAATATCCAGGAACCCAGATGTAATTAATAATAATAATAATAATAATAATAATAATAATAATAATAATAATAAATTTATTATTTATTTTTAATAATAATAAATACAAGTTTTCGACTTGTGATTTTGTGATAGGACATCCAGCATATATATCTTATTTGCTGGGACATACTGTGTTTTTGTGTCAGTTAAATAATAATAATAATAATCTACACAATATACTTGGCCAGGCAGCACTTTCTCCTGACCTTCCTCCTGCATCTGTGGCTACCGGCATCTTCAGAGGAGCTACAGGTAAACTTGACATCATTGTCGAAGGCTTTCATGACCAGAATGTCTCTCCTGACATTTCGCCTGCATCTGTGGCAGGCATCCTCAGAGGCAACCTCCGTAGGTGGAGGTGAAATGTCAGGAGAGAATGCTTCTGGAACATGACCAGGCAGCCCCACAGGCGTCCCGACCCCTAGATTGAGAAAGGCTGACCTACAGAATAAACCAGAATGCTGTGTGATTTCTGGGCTTCCTGGGCAATGTGCTCCAGCAGCACTTTCTCCTGACCTTTCGCCTGCATCTGCGGCTACGAGGATTAATTACACCTTATACAGATTCTTGCCTAGTTGCTGAACATCTACCTTTGATTCAGCTCTATTGCCCCCCCCCCCTTCTCTTCATTAAGCAACTAAAAGAGGCACGGAAGACCTACAGAATAAGCTGGAGTGTTGCAGCATTTTCTCCTGACATTTCATCTGCATCCATGTCTACTGGTTTATATATGCAAAATACACACACAAAGCAAACTGGGCGAAGAGAAATCCCTGATGGACCCGCGTGCCGTAGGGAACAGAATAAGCCGGAGTGTTGTGTGGCTCTTGCAGCATTTTCTCCTGACATTTCGCCTGCATCTATGGCTACTGGTTTATATATGCAAAACACACACACAAAGTGAACTGGGCGAAGTGAACTGGGCGAAATCCCTGTTGGACCCACATCCAATAGGGAACACTACACACAGAGAGAGACAAAGTAACATCATTGCTGAAGGCTTTCATGACTGGAATCACTGGGTTGTTGCGAGTTGCGTGTTCCAGAAGCATTCTCTCCTGACATTTCGCCTGCATCTCTGGCAAGCATCATCAGAGATTGGAAACAAGAAAAGTAGGGATTATATATCTGATTAGCTATTCAATGCTAATCAAGGCAATTGATCGCCTTGATTAGCATTGAATAGCCTTGCAGCTTCAAGGCTTGGCTGCTTCCTGCCTGGGTGAATATTTTGTTGGAATAAATCCCACTTTCCTAGTTTCTAACAAACCTCCAAATCTCAGAGGATGCCTGCCATAGGTGCAGGCGAAACGTCAGGAGAGAATGCTTCTGGAACATGGCCAGGCAGCACTTTCTCCTGATCTTTCTCCTGCATTTGTGGCTACTGGCATACATGTGAAACACACACACAAAGTGAACTGGGCGAAGAGAAATCCCTGATGGACCCACGTGCAGTAGGGAACAGAATAAGCTGGAGTGTTGTGTGGCTCTTGCAGCACTTTCTCCTGACATTTCGCCTACATCTCTGGCTGCCGGCATATACGCAAAACACACACACAAAGCGAACTGGGCGAAGAGAAATCCCTGATGGACCCACGTGCAGTAGGGAACAGAATAAGCTGGAGTGTTGTGTGGCTCTTGCAGCACTTTCTCCTGACATTTCGCCTACATCTCTGGCTGCCGGCATATACGCAAAATACACACACAAAGCGAACTGGGTGAAGAGAAATCCCTGATGGACAATACACACACAGAGAGAGAAAGAGACCAAGAGCAAGCCCTGGACCTTACCTGCAAAGGTGCCAGTCGTGTGGGTTCACAGGTCCTTGCTTGCGTCCCTTTGCAGCAATCCAAAGGCAGAAGTCCCAACCTTCCAGGAGAAAATCCAGCCGGGCATCTTGGAGAGAGAAGAAGGCGAGAGGGTCTGGAAGAAGACAGGCTTGGAGAGAAGAAGGCAGGAGAAGCCAGGAGGACTTCCAAGCTGAGCAATGCTGCCTTCTCTGCTTCTTCCTTCACCAGCTTGGAGATCCATCCATGGGGATGTGATGCACAACAGCAACAACACACCTGGAGGGGAGCAAAGTTGCCCCAAGAGACACAACAATCTTGGGAAAAGAGTTGGGTGACCTTCTTCCCAGCCCAACTCCTCCTGCAAGCAAACTCTCTCTATTTCTCCATCCTTGCAAAGGGAGAAGAGCAGGCTCCCAACGTTGGCGCTCTCCCCTCCTTTCCTGAAAGGGTGGGAGGCTCTGGATCAGGAGGAGAGGGAAGGAAAACGTCCTGCCCAGAGATTCTGGGCATTTTTGAACAGCTCAAGCCCCCCCATCTAATTTTTTTTGCTTTTACTCCCATGCAAAAAATGTCACTTCTCTTACTTACCTTTCAAAGGAGAAGCAGAAGCAGCGCAGCACCGCCCTCTAGCGACCAGAGCCGGGATGGCGCCCACAATTTTGCTCACCTGAATACAATCATTCCATCTTAGAGAGAGACTCATGGGTTTCACCTGGGGAGCCAAATCCCCTTTGCTAAGGCCAGGAGAAGACATAGTTCAACAAGTCCCTCCAGAACTGCAAGCACATGTTTATTTGCGTTGTTGTAGGTTTTTCCGGGCTATATGGTCATGTTCTAGAGGCATTCTCTCCTGACGTTTCGCCTCCATCTATGGCAAGCATCCTCAGAGGTAGTGAGGTCTGTTGGAACTAGGAAAATGGGTTTATATATCTGTGGAATGACCAGGGTGGGACAAAGGACTCTTGTCTGCTGGAGCTAGGTGTGAATGTTTCAACTGACCACCTTGATTAGCATTTGATGGCCTGGCAGTGCCTGGGGCAACCTTTTGTTGAGAGGTGATTAGATGTCCTTGTTTGTTTCCTCTCTGTTGTTGTGCTGTTGATCATCATCATCATCATTGGGTTGTTGTAGGTTTTCTCGGGCTATAGGGCCATGTCCTAGAGGCATTCTCTCCTGACATTTCGCCTCCATCTATGGCAAGCATCCTCAGAGGTAGCGAGGTCTGTTGGAACTAGGAAAATGGGCTTATATATCTGTGGAATAATGTCCAGGGTGGGACAAAGGACTCTTGTCTGCTGGAGCTAGGTGGGAATGTTTCAACTGACCACCTTCATTAGCATTTGATGGCCTGGCAGTGCCTGGGGCAAACCAGGCTCAAGCCAGCCCCCCCCCCCCTCCCAGCTCTTCCCCACCCCCTCCCCCCCCAGTACCATCCAGTACCCCCTCATTCTAGTCTCCCCTATGCTAAGCACGCATCGAGCCCCCCCCAGCGCAAATATCCCAGTTTTCAGTTCATAACTCATTAAAACTTAGTCCCCCCTATCATACCAGCCGTCCTAAACCCACCCCCAAAGGACTCTTGTCTGCTGGAGCTAGGTGGGAATGTTTCAACTGACCACCTTCATTAGCATTTGATGGCCTGGCAGTGCCTGGGGCAACCTTTTGTTGAGAGGTGATTAGATGTCCTTGTTTGTTTCCTCTCTGTTGTTGTGCTGTTGATCATCATCATCATCATTGGGTTGTTGTAGGTTTTCTCGGGCTATAGGGCCATGTCCTAGAGGCATTCTCTCCTGACATTTCGCCTCCATCTATGGCAAGCATCCTCAGAGGTAGCGAGGTCTGTTGGAACTAGGAAAATGGGTTTATATATCTGTGGAATGACCAGGGTGGGACAAAGGACTCTTGTCTGCTGGAGCTAGGTGTGAATGTTTCAACTGACCACCTCGATTAGCATTTGATGGCCTGGCAGTGCCTGGGGCAATCTTTTGTTGAGAGGTGATTAGATGTCCTTGTTTGTTTCCTCTCTGTTGTTGTGCTGTTGATCATCATCATCATCATTGGGTTGTTGTAGGTTTTCTCGGGCTATAGGGCCATGTCCTAGAGGCATTCTCTCCTGACATTTCGCCTCCATCTATGGCAAGCATCCTCAGAGGTAGCGAGGTCTGTTGGAACTAGGAAAATGGGTTTATATATCTGTGGAATAATGTCCAGGGTGGGACAAAGGACTCTTGTCTGCTGGAGCTAGGTGTGAATGTTTCAACTGACCACCTTGATTAGCATATAATGGCCTGGCAGTGCCTGGAGCAATCTTTTGTTGAGAGGTGATTAGATGTCCTGGTTTGTTTCCTCTCTGTTGTTGTGCTGTTGTAATTCCAACAGAAAGGAGGAAACCATGAAAATGAACAAAATCTGGCTGCCAGTATTAAAATATTCTAAAATTGCAACATATGTGTATGTGTGTGTATATCTTTGTGTATATATGTGTGTGTATTTGTGTTTGCATGTATATATGTGTGTGTGTATATATCTTTGTGTATATATGTGTGTTTGCGTGTATATATATGTGTGTGTGTATTTGTGTATATATGTGTGTTTGCGTGTATATATATATATAAGTGTGTGTGTAGTTGTGTTTGCATGTATATATATGTGTGTGTGTGTATCTTTGTGTATATATGTGTGTTTACGTGTATATATATGTGTGTGTGTATTTGTGTTTGCATGTATATATATGTGTGTGTGTGTATCTTTGTGTATATATGTGTGTTTGCGTGTATATATATGTGTGTGTGTATTTGTGTATATATGTGTGTTTGCGTGTATATATATATATATATAAGTGTGTGTGTAGTTGTGTTTGCATGTATATATATGTGTGTGTGTGTATCTTTTTGTATATATGTGTGTTTACGTGTATATATGTGTGTGTGTGTATTTGTGTTTGCATGTATATATATGTGTGTGTGTGTATCTTTGTGTATATATGTGTGTTTACGTGTATATATATGTGTGTGTGTGTATTTGTGTTTGCATGTATATATATGTGTGTGTGTGTATCTTTGTGTATATATGTGTGTTTACGTGTATATATATGTGTGTGTGTATTTGTGTTTGCATGTATATATATGTGTGTTTGTGTGTATCTTTGTGTATATATGTGTGTTTGCGTGAGGGAGTGTGGTGGAGGCTCCTTCTTTGGAAGCTTTTAAACAGAGGCTGGATGGCCATCTGTCAGGGGTGATTTGAATGTGATTCTCCTGCTTCTTGGCAGAATGGGGTTGGACTGGGTCTCTTCCAATTCTATGATTCTAAGTCTTAAATCTAAAGGGCTGAGTAATCTGTAAGTAAGAGTTTACAGGTGAAAACAATTAAGAGTGGAGGCATGCAAGAGATAATAAATGGATCATAGAATTCTAGAATCAAAGAGTTGGAAGAGACCTCATGGGCCATCCAGTCCAACCCCATTCTGCCAAGAAGCAGGAATATTGCATTCAAATCACCCCTGACAAATGGCCATCCAGCCTCTGCTTCAAAGCTTCCAAAGAAGGAGCCTCCACCACACTCCGGGGCAGAGAGTTCCACTGCTGAATGGCTCTCACAGTCAGGAAGTTCTTCCTCATGTTCAGATGGAATCTCCTCTCTTGTAGTTTGAAGCCATTGTTCCGCGTCCTAGTCTCCAGGGAAGCAGAAAACAAGCTTGCTCCCTCCTCCCTGTGGCTTCCTCTCACATATTTATACATGGCTATCATATCTCCTCTCCGCCTTCTCTTCTTCAGGCTAAACATGCCCAGCTCCTTAAGCCGCTCCTCATAGGGCTTGTTCTCCAGACCCTTGATCATTTTAGTCGCCCTCCTCTGGACACATTCCAGCTTGTCAATCTCTCTCTTGAATTGTGGTGCCCAGAATTGGACACAATATTCCAGGTAAAGTGGTCTAACCAAGCAGAATAGAGCATGGGGAGCAGGACTTCCCTAGATCTAGACACTAGGCTCCTCTTGATGCAGGCCAAAATCCCATTGGCTTTTTTTGCCGCCACATCACATTGTTGGCTCATGTTTAACTTGTTGTCCACGAGGACTCCAAGATCTTTTTCACACGTACTGCTCTCGAGCCAGGCATTGTCCCCCATTCTGTATCTTTGCATTTCGTTTTTCCTGCCAAAGTGGAGTATCTTGCATTTGTCACTCTTGAACTTCATTTTGTTAGTTTTGGCCCATCTCTCTAATCTGTCAAGATCGTTTTGAATCCTGCTCCTGTCCTCTGGAGTATTGGCTCTCCCTCCCAATTTGGTGTCGTCTGCAAACTTGATGATCATGCCTTCTCGCCCTTCATCTAAGTCATTAATAAACAACAACAACAACAATCCTATCTCGTCTGCCAAAATCAGGCCCACTCTTCCCACTCTTCTCTTTGCACTACAAGTAAGATATGTGCAGTGTGCATAGGAATTCATTCATGGTTTTCTTTCAAATTATAATCCAGCCCTCCAACAGTTTGAGAGACTGTCACGTGGCCCTCTGTTTAAAAAGTCTGAAGACCCCAGATCTAGATCTAGATAATAGAATCCTAGAGTTGGAAGAGAACTCATGGGCCATCCAGTCTGACCCCATTTTGCCAAGAAGCTATTGGAACTAGGAAAATCTATATAAATAAAAATGTCATGTTAGTTCGTGCTACCATCAGAACTCAAAAACCACTGGGGGAATCAACACCAAATTTGGACACAAGACACCTAACAGTCCAATTTACGTCCTCCACTAAAAAAAAATGATTTTTGTCATTTGGGAATTGTTGTTGCTGGGATTTATAGTTCACCTACAGTCAAAGAGCATTCTGAACTCCACCAATGATGGATTTGGGCCAAACTTCTCACACAGGGCTCCCATGACCAACAGAAAAAACTGGAAGCGTTTGGTGGACATTGACCTTGAGTTTGGGAATTGTAGTTCACCCACATCCAGAGAGCACTGTGGACTCAAACAATGATGGATATGGAACAAACTTGACACAAAAATTCCATATGCCCAAGTATGAACACAGATGGAGTTTAAGGGAAATAGACCTTGACATTTGGGAGTTGTAGTTGCTGGGATTTATAGTTCAACTACAATCAAAGAGCACTCTGAATCCCAACAGGAAGAGAATTGAACCAATCTTGTCACACAGAACTTCCATCAGCTACAGAAAATACTGGAAGGGTTTGCTAAGCATATGCCCAAGTATGAACACAGATGGAGTTTAAGGGAAATAGACCTTGACATTTGGGAGTTGTAGTTGCTGGGATTTATAGTTTAAAAGGTAAAGGTAAGGTAAAGGAAGTCCCCTGACATTAAGTCCAGTCATGTCTGACTCTGGGGTGTGGTGCTCATCTCCATTTCTAAGCCTAAGAGCCAGCGTTGTCCGTAGACACCTCCAAGGTCATGTGGCCGGCATGACTGCATGGAGCACCGTTACCTTCCCGCCGGAGCGGTACCTATTGATCTACTCACATTTGCATGTTTTCGAACTGCTAGGTTGGAAGAAGCTA